CACTCACTCACTCACTCACTCACTCACTCACTCACTCACTCATCTATCTTTGGGATCAAACAGTTTAAACTTAAATAAATGAGATGAACAGAAGCATCTTTAAGAGCTTCTGGGTCCAGCGGGCCGGGTTCTGGAGCCGAACTCTTCTGTATAAATACGTGTAGAACACTTTGTGCAGTGAAGTCCTGATGCTAATGTTCACAGCGTTCAAACTAAAACTGATGAAACAAGTTCATTCTTAGGTCACCTGTACAGGAGTTGTCCTCCATCTTTCTTCACTGAACGTTTGCAGAACGTTACACATTTAGTTGTAAAACCAACGCACTGGATTGATTTTAACTTGAAGGAACTGAAGTTTGTCTTATTGATCAAATGGTATCAGATTAGAACTCTGCAGAGATCCGATCAGAGCGTCCTGGTGACAGAACACCTGGTGCACAGGTGCTCTCAGGTGTTCTGACCTTCCTGCTGCTTCTTCAGGAGACGAGGATAAAAAACAGACACTGAGAGACGGCGCCCGGCAAACACGAAGGCTTCAATCAGGTCCTCAGTTCACACCTGCAGGAGGGCGGGAGTCCATCCAGGTGGAACTGTTAAGGTCCATTAAAAAGGTACCAGACCCAGGTGACCCAGGTGAGTGGGCCCTGGTCCAGGTGAGTCAGTCCCAGCACTGGTCCAGGTGAGTTGGTCCTGGTCCAGCGGCAGCTTGACGAAGGCAATGGCGGCGAGTTCTTTGCAGAACTCCTCGAGAACGACGACTCCTCTGAGCAGCGTCAGGTGTTCCCGTCTGAGGACACACAGGTGAGCACAGGTGAGCTGTGACATCATCAGTCACAGAGAGCAAACCGCTGCTGACATGTTCATTAAGCTGTCAGTGAGCTCCGTCTGTGGAAAACATCTGTCAGCGCCTACAGAGACATTAAACGGTCAAAGTGTGAGGATTCGGCTGCAGGTGCTGGAGATGCAGACGATGAGCAGCTCCAGTCCAGCAGGCCTCCCTCCGCCTGTCTGGGCTCACCACCTGATTTCATGTCTTCTTTCAGATACACTTATATTATGCTGTAAATAGTTGTTGACCAAGTTTCTACACCTGTTTGCACCTTCCTGTTCGTCGTACTCGTTGATGACAAAAACGTGAGTGTGTCTCCACGGTAACAGCTCACAGCTCTGCAGCACAACAGTCACCCAGCAGACATCAGTTCTGTCAGAGCCGTCCTCATCCAGGACTGACTGCTGCTGCCCTCACACATCCTGTCGGGGACCGCAGGGTTTCTGTGCCCTGAGCTCAGGCTCACAGGCTCCTTCATTCTGGCTGCTCTGTACCTCAGTAGTGATGCCTCCTGCACGCCACCAGGCGGCGCTGTCCTCCAGCGTCTCTGAGGCCATGCAGCCAGAACGCTGGGGCCTGCTGGACTGTAACTGGAGATCTGTCTGTACTGCAGCACTTGGAGCCGAATCCTTGGACTCTTCATGGTTTAATGTCTCTGAAGGCGCTGACAGAGCTCACTACGGACACTCAGCTCTCCATACACACGAACAGATAGTTCTGCTACGTCAGCTCTTTGAATTTCTACATTTACAAGATCAATACGATCAGTGATGACTGATTATTTACCCGGTTTCCTGTTTCAGTCCCAACAGGTGTCTCCTGGTGTCCAACAGTCTGTCTGACAGGTTGGACACCTGCTGGATCCTCTGCATCAACTGGCCCATCACCTGGAAGACAGACAGGGACACAGACAGACAGGTGAAGAGACGGACAGACAGATTCAGGATCACCTGTCTGTCTGCCTGTCTCACCCTGATGAGGACGGAGAACAGCGACCTGCAGCTGGGCGACAGGTGGATGTAGGGGTTGAGCAGGTACTCGTTCAGCAGAGGGTGGCTGAAGGACGACAGTCTGGACAGAACAGCCGTCAGCTGCAGGTTCAACTCGTATGGCTGAAAACACACAGCACACCTGCACAGGTGAGTCAGCCAATCACAACACATAGCACACCTGCACAGATGTGTGTGTGGTGAGACAGGTGCACCTGCTCCAGGATGCGTCCCAGCCGGTCAAACAGAACCTTCAGCAGGTGGCCCTCATAGAAATGGACCTCCTCACCTGATGGGGAGGCGGGGGGAGACAGGCTGAGCGGCCAATCCCAGGACAGAGAGAGCTGCTGACACTGAGTCACCTGATGGAGGGGGCGGAGTCAGTCGACTACCTGAATCTTTTCTAAACAAACGTCACTGTGTCCATGTGTCACATCAAACAGCTTCAACACCAACAACGGTCATCTCTCATAATGTCTTCGTGTTACTGCACAGACTGTATGAGCATGTGGCAAATAGGCACTCCTCCATCTTATCCTCAGATGCTGCACCGATGCTGATGCTAAAGGTAATGCTGATGCTAAAGCTGATGCNCGGGGGAAAGCCGGAGCTTCCTGAGTCTCAATGTGATGACACTAAGATGGATGCCGCAAACAGGAAGGTGGCTCGTCTCTACAAGGTAACCAAACACCTAGATCATCAACCAATCAGTGTCCTGCGGCCATCATGATGTCACTTAGTCTGTCTGTCTGTCAGGTGTCTAATGCAGGTGGGGACATGGAGGTTACCATGGTAGCAGAACAGAGCCCCTTCTCCCAGGACCATCTGCATTCCAGCGAGTGTTTCATCCTCGACAGTGGAGCCAGTGGACACATCTTCATCTGGAAAGGTCTGAACTGTATTCTGATATAAACCAGTCAGAACCGGTCTGTAACCAGTAACTAACTGAACAGTAAGAAGGAGTTTGTTTTCAGCCTTTGAAAAGACTGTAAAGGTGTTACTTACCTGTCCTGAGATTTACTGAAGAGTTCCACCTGCTGGTGATGATGGTGGTGGTGATGNCAACAACTGTCACACAGAATTGCAAAACGTTTTCTACAACATGTAAAAAACTGAAATGTGACTCCAGTGTTCAGACTGCTGGGAGACTCCCATGATGCACTGGGCTCATGTACAGCTAATGTGGCTAACGTTAGCGTTGCACTTTAATGTTCACTTGAGTCACCTGCTGTTTCTCCTCGTACACCAGGATGTCCAACATCTGTCTGAGACGCCACGGGATGTCTGTCTGTCTGACAGGCCGGCTGTCATCTACACACACACACACACACACACACACACACACACACACACACACACACAGTGGGTGACTGTGATTGGCTGATCAGGTGTGTCAGGTGAATGTCTGCAGGTTAAAGCTCCTCACCTGTTGTCTCGATGTAATAATTGGTTATTGATTTCCAGTGATCGACAAACGAGTCCAACAGGTCGACTGTTGGCTCCCTCTGAGAGACAGACAGACAGACAGACAGACAGACAGACAGACAGACAGTTACAGACAGACAGACAGAGAGACAGACAGACAGACAGACAGACAGACAGGCAGACAGTTACAGACAGACAGACAGACAGACAGACAGACAGGCAGGCAGACAGACAGTTATTAATCAAATCTTTGCCATCTTGGACTGAAACATGAACATTTTCTGACACTATAGAGACCAAATAGCTGATTGGCTGATCCAGAGAACAACAAAAACTAATTAACTACCAGATCACCTGACTGAGGCTGGTGCCCCGCCTGACCAGTATGAAGGGCTGACCAGTCAACTAGACCAGTACGAAGGTCTAACCCTGACCAGTCGACCTGTCTGTCTGTCCCTACCTGTCTGTCTGTCTACCTGCATACCTGACAACATTCCTCCAGGTCAACAGAGCAGCTGCAGAACTTTGACTCAACTTTAGCAGCTGTTAGCCGTTAGCTGTTAGCTTCACTATGAGAAACTGCAGAGAAACTCAGACGGACGGTTTATCCTTCGCATCCAACTTTAAGTCTGGCAAACTTTTAATGGAGCTAACTGGGCTAACTGGGCTAACCGAGCTAACTGGGCTAACCGAGCTAACTGGGCTAACCGAGCTAACTGGGCTAACTAGCTGTGACTCACCGTCTCCAGCGCGTGCAGCAGCATGCTAGTTAGCTTGCTGAACGTCTCCATTCTGCCGCCAAACCGAGCGTCGTTAGTCCCGGTTAGTCCCGGTTCGTCCCGGTTAGTCCCGGTTAGTCCCGGTTACTGTAGCATGTCAACAAGCTAAACTAACAGCTGACTGTGAGTCGAGCTGGACACAAACACATCCGGCTGACCTTTCAACATCAAACACCAGCCCGTCAATGAGTCACCTTTCACAATAAGAGCTTGGATAAAATACGTCGGTGTGGTTCTGTTGATGTCGTTAATTCATCTCGAAAGAGATCAAAACCAGTTTATTCATGTAAATAAATAAACCGTTTGTGCATAAACACGTGTGAGCTGGTTTGTCGTCTCACCTGCAGGCTTCCTGTTCTGCTCCTCAGGTGAGTCAAAGCCTGAGATCAGCATAAAGGTCAGGAGGCCAGGTTCCTCCAGTCCAACCGGCCATACTGGGAGCACTGGGAGCACTGGGAGTGGACACGTGAACTGGTCTCAGATCAGAGGTTCTAAGCCCAGTTGGTCAGAATTCAATTCAGTTTTATTTGTATAGCGCATATTTACAACAACAGTCATCTCATAGCGCTTCACAAAGACAGAAACACCCAACAATCCAAACATCTGGATTCTCTATAAGCTTCAGCAGTCTGCTGGTGGGAAGGAACCNGACTGGACCAGAGCCAGATGGATCTGACTGGACTGGATCAGAGCCAGATGGATCTGATTGGACTGGACCAGAGCCAGATGGATCTGATTGGACTGGACCAGAGCCAGATGGATCTGATTGGACTGGACCAGAGCCAGATGGATCTGACTGGACTGGACCAGAGCCAGATGGATCTGATTGGACTGGACCAGAGCCAGATGGATCTGACTGGACTGGACCAGAGCCAGATGGATCTGACTGGCTGCAGGACTTTGGTGGCTCTGTTATGTGATTAGAGGCCTGCATGCTGTGCTGTGATTGGTCAGAGGCTGCTGTCTTGGCTGCCGGTTGGTCCAGAACCTGGAAACACAGAGGCCTGAAGGTGAGGTGGTCACGGAACAGAAAAGCAACGTTAACACAACAGACTGACGAAACACAGCGAGGTGAACCTGTTGCCATCACCTAATTACCTCCAGGACATATCTGAGCGCGTGCGGATCCTGTTTGACTCTGGAGCAGATGACCAATAGGAACTGAGCCTCCTCCTTCTCCGTGTGCGAACCAGGAAGTACACAGAGACGAATCAGCTTCTAGGAGGCGGAGCAGAGATGATGTCACGCGTTGGGAGTGTTTTAGCACCAATGAAGACACGCTGCTGGTCTGAGGGCAGGTCTACAGCTGTGAACTACAGCAGCTGAGCCACTCACACACTGGCTAACTTTCAGACAACATGTTTCAGGCTGCAGCTGCTTTCAGCCGGGTCAGAACCAGAACTCAGGTCGTGGTTTTAGTGAGAAGAAGCAACGAATCAGAATCAGCTTTACTGGCTGAGGTTGTGAACACACAGACTGAATCTGACGGCAGAGTTTCTCTCAAAGAGCCGACAAAACAAAGCATGGATTCAAAGTGCAGGTACGGCTCCAGGTACGAGTCAAGAGCAACTCTGAAGGGAACCAAAGGTCAGAAACAGTGATGTACAGTAAACACAGGGACAGACAGCTGAGACACTGATGATGCGACTCTCTGTGACTGATGAACATAACGATGATGATACAGTTTCTCCTCCATTGTTTTCTTGCACATGCTCAGTCTGCACGGGTCCTCACTGCGTCCGATGAATGAGAGTATTGGTGTCGTGTTTCTTCACAGTCAGAGGCTGCAGGTGGAGTTTACCTGCACAGGTCTGTAGACGTTCACCAGCTGCAGCATCGGCTTCTGCATCTCAGACAGGAACTTGGAGAAGAACAGCAGAACCTGCTGGAACATTCCTGGAGGATACTGAGAACAGATCCAAACATGACATCAGGACATGGAACAGAGACATTAAACAGAACCTCAGTGTGATGTTACCTGAGCTTTCCCCAGAGTGCTCAGAGTCTCCAGCAGCTTGTGTTGCAGCAGATACTCCAGACAGGGTCCAGTGTCCTCTGGAGCCTGATCAATACATCCGTCAATACATCCGTCAATACATCCGTCAATACATCC